TTCCCTATCTCGTCCACCTGCAGTCATTATTGAATCCGAGTATGCAATATTCTTTTTATTGGAGAATCCTTTTGCTTACCCAATTTGTACGCCAAAACCAGAATTTTGTTCTCCCATTCGTGGTTTTCTACTGGGCCTATTCTGTTGTTGTCGTAGAATCTGTCAGTGAAATTTGAGGGTGATTACTTCCTTCTGCATATACACACCACGAGCCAATCTTCACCCACGCAGGCTTACAAGCAGGCCATCAATGGCCTGGATAAGGAGCTCGACTTTTTGAAGCGTTGGGCTTGAGCCCATTTGGCGGAGAAGAGGAAAACTTCTCTCCAACCGAGAGGTTCCCGGTTTATACGCTAAACCGGACGCTATTCGAAAACGGTGCGTTTTGGGCAAATAATCCAGCTCTCAGACGAGCTAAGCAAATGTGCAGAAACAGGAGAGCAAAAATACCACATGGGTTTCAAACATCAAGCCCAATGGACTTCCAAATGCAAAGACAGAGATTTCAATGCCTCAATAAGCGTTTGACTGGTCTTTGACATCAAAAAAGAAGGTTGTAATAACGAAACGGACATGTATTTGGTCCTAGCTAGTGGAACAAGAAAGACATAGATCTATCTATATTCAATACGCAATCAAAGGATTTCCCCCAACGAAGAATTCCCCCATACAAAGAAACTAGATTTCCAAGCTACTCCAGCGGGAGAGCCCGCAAAAGACCTGTTTCTAAGCACTGAGCCCTAGTGCTTGTAAGGTGCTAACTTTCCTGGCCCAAGGGCACTCGAAACATGCTCCAAAGACAGAAGTTGATCACTGCAAAAACTCTGGCAGCAGCGAGCCGGCGGCCCTCTAATTATTAGTCATGGTTCATCTATGCATGGTAAAACGGTATTCCATCTGACCATGCTGCTAATATACGGGTCTCTCTATTAACTAAAAGACTTCGCTCAGTTTGCTAACGTTATCACTTGTGTTGATGTGTGACTCAAGGTTGAAGCAATGTTTTTGGCCGTTTAAGTTGTTGCTTGTGGAAGTTATAAATGTGTAGTTATGTTGCAGTTTTATATTTGTGTTTAACTGTTGAATATGGGTTTTCCTTGACTCTTTAAACATATGTATTGATTAGCATGGAAAGTTATTGCAGAGAGAAAATGCACTCGTACCTTTGACCAAAAAAAAAATGCACTCGAGAGGAAATGAGAGTAGAATTAATGTATTGTGAGTGTGAATGCATTGCATTTGTCATGTACTAGTTTGTCATTTACTAGATTGTTCTCAGGAGTAGTATATATATATATATATATATGTGATCTTGTAGAATTTTGCAATACAAAAAAATATTCTTGACCATTGGCTTATATTCCCCCCTCTCTTCTCCACCCTTTTACACGCCTCTTACATTAGTATGTCTCTTACATCAGTCTCAATAGTTGCAATCTTCGTTGATGAATTGTTGAGTCAATTTGGTGCCGGGAATAAAATGAAGTAGCCTGTACTTATATATTCACAGCTGATTTGTCCATCTTAGTGCTACCATATGAAAATTGAACAAACGTAGTTAAGGGATGATTTTTTTTTAAACAGAGAAGCAGGGAATCACTGGTTTAGCCATTGGTGTTTATAGCATGAAGTTGGTGAACGTGCCATCTTGCATGTCGGCTGGGAACTGGGCTATGGGAAAGATGGAAGCTTTTCTTTCCAAATGTTCCTCCTATGGCAGACTTGATACGTTGAACTTATTGGATTTGATGGAGTTAATGAGGCAAGTCTTTCTAGCTATGACATCAAACAACATCAACATCAATATTGCTTTAGTCCCAAGTTTATTTGGGATCGACCAACATCAAACAAGTATTTATTTTTTAATGTCTTAACTTCAGAGCTGAACTTCTCCCGATTTTCCTGTTTGTGTTTTGGAGATGAATTATAAAGGGAAAGCCTCGTACTGATATGACTGTTGAAGAAAGCATTAGCGTAGCATACATAAGAAATATGGATGGAAATACTCTGTTTAAGGAGGATAAACTGGAGGCGGCAATGCAGTAGTATGAAATGGTTATAGTTGTACCGCAGTAGTATAAATTTAGTAAATAATTTTTATCAAATGATATTAAAAATTTAATTAAAACTATTAAATTTAAAAATTATTTACTAAATTTATAATAATTAAATAATAAATTTAAAATATAAATAATATCAATTTAATTTGTTTTTAAGTAAAAAAATAATTTTATTATAAAATTTATTAAAACTAATCATTATTAAACCTAAAAATTATACTATTATATTTTTTATTAAAATATAATACTAAAAAAATAATATCAAATCATAACACTAAACAAAATCATCACCAATATATATATATATATATTAATGTTTTATATAATTTCTAACAAAAATATTTTAGTTTTTTTGTCAAAACGCCGGATACCGCTACCAAAACGCAAGTTGGAAGCTGCGATTAGTAAACACAAGTTTGGTTACGGTTGCGGTTGGTTGCGGTTCAACCAATCACTTTTTCAATCGCTCGCAACCGCCGGAAATCGTAACCGGTCCGTTTGCGGATGACGGCGGTGCAACCAGTCGCCCCCAAAACCTGTTTGATGAGACTCCTTACATTTGTATTTTCCCTTTTTCATGGGTTATGGTTCCCTTCTCTCAGGCCATGTCATACATGGGCGATGATTTTATGTTTCAGTTGTACGGAAAGTATCGTGACATGGCTTTAGCGGTTAAAAACCCATGCCACCTTAACATGGCAGCTTGCCTCATCAAGCTGAAACGGTACAAAGAAGCAATAGGTCACTGCAATCTGGTGAGTCATTTGAACAATCTTTCAAGAATCACTTGGTGCTTGTTCTGGAATGTGTTGTCTATACTATGCTGTAATTTTGTTAGGCGTTAACAGAGGAAGAAAACAATCCGAAAGCATTGTTTAGAAGGGGGAAAGCAAGAGCAGAGCTCGGACAGACGGAATCAGCACGTGAAGATTTTGTGAAGGCACGAAAGGTTGTTCCGGATGACAAAGCAATCACGAGAGAACTGTGTGCACTTGCAGAACAGGAGAAAGCGCTGTATCAAAAACAGAAGCAAATATACAAAGGTATATTTGAAAGACATGAAGCGAAGGCAAAGAGGGGGAGTTGGGTGATCCTGTGATAATGTTTTAGTGACCGAAAACCCAGATTGTATTCCTCAACAAGTGAAATACAAAGTTTGAGAGCTATTCGAGAGTCTCCACTCTCCCATTTCCCACATTTTCTTCTCAAAACATTCGATGCCCTAAAACAAGAAATCCAGCAATATTATATAGACTCCTTCAACCTAACATGCTGATGTGGCATTTCTAAACCCCCATACCGAAAGCACAGAGGACATAAAATAACAAAAGAAAAATGTTAGCAAATATTCCCTTTGTCGGCCATTGCTGCAATAATTCTCTGCTCCATTTGGTTTTCCCCACCTAAGCTTCTTGAGGTTTTCCATCCTGTTGTGGCAGTGGTTCGTGCCTCTCTTCTATCGGCTCTTCGGATTGGAGAGTTAAAACCGAGTAAAGTTGAGATATGGTCAAGTAACTTGAGTGAAGAGTGGAAAAGTCTTTTGTTTTCATGTCAAAATAGTGGAACAGTAATGTCATTCTTCTCTCAAAAACTTTGAGGTAATAATCCAAGTTGACTCCTTTTCATACATGTCTTTCTTTCCATGACACAATGACATGGGAAGTGTTGGATAGTCCTTGGATAAAATGATGGTGGTGATCTCCACTCTCTCACGTGCACCGTGATGTAATTTGATGTAATAAGCCCTGAACATCTCACGATGATGTGCTAGTATGTGATTCTCAGAATTCTGACAGGAATAAAAGGCTATGTGGCTAACCAAGCATAAGAAATAAATCGGAACGTGGCACCAAAGATGAAGACAACACAACACAACAACAACAACAACAACAACAACAACAACATGGACTCATTACCAAATTCATTTAGAATCGGCCGCATGAATCCTTCTTTTCCATTCATTCGATCTCGAATTAACTCTTTCGGAATCTGCAACATTTCTAAAGCGTTTTTAATGACCTGCTCCCAAGTAAATCTAGGTCTACCTCTTCCTTTTCTTTGCACCCCTATACCTATACTCTTCATTTTTCTAATCGGTGCATCAATCGGCCTACGTTGTACATGGTCAAACCATCTTAAACACCCCTCTCGTACCTTCTCTTCGATACCTATTACTCCTATTTTCTTTCTAATAATCTCATTTCTAATTTTATACATCCTTGTGTGTCCGCACATCCATCTCAACATCCTAGCCGGTAGTATTTTTCTTTCAATCGTAGGGGAACCTTACGATTACAAAGAACCCCCGTGACTTGTCTCCATTTCATCCATCCCGCTTTTATTCTATGACTAACATCTTCGTCACAACCTCCATCCTTTTGAAAGATTGGGTCTTTGAGGTACTGATCCTCCTTGCAAGTGAACTCCCACATCACTAGAATGCTTGTCACTAAAGTCTCAATGCATGTACTCCGTCTTCGTTCTACTAAGCCTAAAAACTTTAGCTTCTAATGCACCAAAGATGAAGACATTAATAATAAATATACAATGAAATGAAGCAAATCGCCATACAAGAACTCTCCTAGGGCAAACAAAACCAGTCAGCGAATACAATCCCACATCCCAAAAATCTCCTTTCAGTGCCACCTTGAGGTAAGACTTTGCACGGTGTTTTCACCAATGCTCCCGCCAGAAACAAAGTGACAGCATCAGCACGTCATTTTTACATGCGGTTAGCTCTCGGCCTTTAATCAAGCGTTGTTGGCTGGGGGCTTGTAATCAAGCATCTCCCTCGTGTTCAACTTGATGGAAGGTCCCATGGATGAGCAAATGTGGGCACTTTTCCAGTACACTCCTTTTGCCCCCTTTGGCTTGTTTGTCTCCACCGATTTCTGCGTTGATCACAAGTCTTCTTTTAAATCTCATTAATGCAAGCAACAACAGACCAAACACATAACTGCGGTGAAGAAAGAATAGCGTACTACTGCTGCAAGAAAGTTTATGAGAAGGTCTTCCTCTGAGAAATCAACTTTCCCAAAGGGAATGTGAACAATCCCGGTTTTGTCAGCTCTGTATTCAACTTTACCCTTTTTGAACTCTTCTATAGCCTGTGATTACAAGAGGGACCTAAAATCAGGAGAGGTTGCACTATGGATGCGAGAAACACACCAGGATAGCAGGACTAACCTGAGGAATGTTTATTGTCACGGTACCAGCCTTGGGATTTGGCATAAGTCCTCTAGGACCAAGAATCTTTCCCAGGCCAGCAACCTGATGTCACCAGCAAGAAGATTAGGAACTCTCCTCAAGTTACAGTGACCTAGTCTGCTCTTATTTTGACAATGATGAAAACTAGTGATTGCTCAAACGCTTGTTGAGAACAAACCGAGGAGCGATATAACAAACCTTGACCATCATATCAGGGGATGCAATTAACTTGTCAAACTCCATGAACCCTCCTTTTATTTGTTCGATCAGATCATCACTACCAACAATATCTGCTCCTGCACTTTTTGCTTCATCGACCTTCTCACCTAAATTTCAACAAGGAAATAGTCTAACCAAAGAATAAGAGGCAATCATATGCCATAGACAACAGAAATCCAAGGAGATGTACTAACGTTCATATAGATTGCATCAATTCCCTTAGTGGAAAGGAGAAATGGGAAAAAAAAGGAAAGAGGTCAATTCAAACACAGCTTCCCAACTGAAGTACAAAAGAAGTCCAACCAAATTATAGAAAAGAAATATTTGTTACTAGAAACCAAGAAGCGGGACAATAACAGCAATAAAAGACGCAAATAGAAAGAAAAATGACAGTTTCTCTCGATATTGGCAGAATGGCAAGTTCACTTGTAACTAACATGAGTACCCTGACACCGTGGCATCATCCTAAAAAACATCTTAATACTCTCCAAGTAAAACAACTGGCTCTACAGACAAAAAGCTAACAATTAACAAACGTTAAAACATTTTGGGCACTAGATACCTTGTGCAAGAACAGCCACTTTAACGGCCTGCCCAGTTCCCTTAGGCAGATTCACCTATAAAAAGAGAGACATTGCATACGGCTCATATACCAAAGGACTATAAGCCATTCATGCTATATCCAACAATCTCGGAACTAACCGTTGCTCGCAGCTGCTGATCATTGTATTTTGGATCGATGTTGAGACGGAAATGCGCTTCTGCCGACTCCACAAACCTTGCATTACACATTTGTTTTAGCAAAGATATAGCTGTCTTCAGGTCATACTCTTTTTTCGTTTCCTTTAGCTTTTGGATTTCCAAAAACCTCTTAGACCTTGTCTGTCAAAGCCAGCCCGAAAAGCAAAGAATTTGAGATTGAAACCAGAGAAGTACCCTACTGATCGAATGATCGAGAGAGAAAGACTAAGTGACTGCTAGCAACCACACAAAGTCTAGTTAAGTTGAGTTCAGGCCAGTGAGGCCACTCAAGCAGTAAATCCCATAAAAGAAAAGGACCCTGAAACTATTACATCACAAATTCGACCCAGCAGACACATCTCTTTGAACACTAAAACATCCTGGAAGAAGATTATTTCAAAAAACTTAACTCGCTGATTAGTCTAAAGCCAATAATGAAAGCTCAGTTCTGAGTCTATAGAGGGCGAGCCGGTTGAGTTAAAATTGAGCAAAGGAGCACGAAAATCATCAAAACGCGGGGGTATATTTGTTCTAAGGTTTGTAGGAAAGACATTCATATACTTCACAATCAAGTAACGCAAGGAAAGAAGGGAAGATGGCGAAGCTAAAAACACAAGACAACCCGCACACGGAGATATAAAGTATACTCTATCTCTCTTGAGAGGCAAAGCGGCTTTCCCTTTCTTGGGCTTGGGCGGAGCGACGACGGCGGAGGCGGAGGCGGAGGCGTCACTCTCTTCCGCGTCGTCGGTGGAGACGTCAGCCTCGGAAGCCACGGCGGCAACAACGATGCGGAAGGATCTATGAGAAGCCAATCTCCGGCGGCTGAGAAGAAGAAGCGGGCGATGGAGGGAGGCGGTGAAGCTGTTGAAAGAGACAAGAGAGGGCGGGAGGAGGTCCTGCGAGTGAAGGGTGGGGGCGGCGTACGTTAGCATGAGGGAGGAGTGAGTGGCGCAGGAAGCCATGGTTGGAACTCTAAACCTAACAGCGCCGAAGAGCAATCGCGGTGTCTGTCTATCCACACTCGTGATGCCTCCGCCTGGATAAGAACCCCCTCGGTCGACAGTTTGAGACGTTATCCTCTGTGTGAGAGCGTACCATCGGAGCGGTCCTAATGCATCACGATTCGCGCATCGTGGCAGCTGGACAACCGTGAAAGTCTTTTGATATTTGAATTAATAGAAGCATACTCGTCCAAGTCTTTGCGTGGTCCTATTTGAGTTAGAGGTTACAGTCTCTTTGATTAATGGGATGCCAGAATCATCAAACATTTACAATAGCAATAATCTTGTATATATATGAAGGCATTTTCTCTTCCAAATGAGAACGACCTGCGCACTCCTTGGAAGTAATGTGGGTCTGGAAACGAGTTTTAAGCTTGAATTTGACATATTTTTTTTATGATAAAACAAAAATAAGGCCGTACAATTTATAAACGTCTGTCCATGAACCACAAACCAATCAACGCTTGGCCTTGACTTGTGCATGCCTTGGGGGCTTGCAACTCCAAAAAGGTGTTACATTTTGTTGCATGATCTTTTGAAGCATGTGAAACTTTCGTATTACGTTCATGTTTTCAGCTTACAAAAAAAACATTGAAAGAGACAATACATATATGTCACCGTGCCTCAAGTTTCTTCCACAGGTAGAAAGCTCTTCTGATTATCGGATCAGCCGAAAACCCTTCCGCGTACGCCCCAATAGCATTTAAGAGGCTTGTGAACTTCTCCCCATTGTCCTGTACACATTACCAATTACTTTTGTTTCATCATGACCTCTTGGTTTTCAGGGTTACTTAACTTCTCCTATTTCTACTTAATACTATAAAAATTTTCCACGTTCTTCATAATACAAACCTCCGGCTTACTAAAAGTAAGATCCCTGGTGTTAAACGGTACCATGTAGAGCGGCAGATCAGACCTTAATATTGCCTGCCACAAGTAATATCAGCAATGGCAATTGCAAAATCTACCATTCACTTTGTTGACAAGCCCTACCATGCAAACAGATGAATAAACTCAGAAAGATACCAGGTTTTTGCTTAAGATGGCCTGTCCAGCATTAGCTCTTAGGGCCTGCAAAGAAGTGCAAGAGCAAAATTTAACACCATTGATTTCACAGATGCACTCCATGAGTCCATGACATACCATTGTCCTTACCGCTTTGATTCTTTCTTCTTTGACTTCATCAATGGATTGCAACAGATTCTCCAATGTGCCTGACGATGAAATAAGATTATGCCATACGAATTGCCGGGTTTAATGAAATGAAAGAACATGCATGAGTGATTGACTTACCGAATCTAGTGATAAGCTCCACGGCATGGACATTCCCAATGCCATCAACTCCTGCATGCAAGACAAATGCATATCCACAGATGCAGCCGCAAATTAAAAAAAAATAGTGAACAGGGAAATTTCAGAAAAGGAGAGCTATCAAAGATAAGGGTAACCTGGGATATTATCAGATTTGTCACCAACAAGAGAGATGACATCCACAAACTGCGCAGGCTTTAGAGTCCCATACTTTTTAGCAAAATCCTCCATACCGAAAGACACCATCCTGAGCAGAGGAAGCAGTAGTATTTGCATCAGAGAAGAAAAACCTAGAACATAAGAAACCAACAGGGAATATCTGAAAGAACCTTCCTTTTACCAAATCAGTATCCTTGTCTAAAAAAATCATAAATGCCTTCAATGCCTACAAGTGTTTCCATAAAACACAGAACTTGTAGTGAAACAACTTACTTCTCAAAGATCCCTCAATGCAATTTATAAGACCTGAATTTCTAAAAACACAACACAAACACAGGCTAGATAGATAAATCCCCCTTCTCTACTGCCGTACTGCGAAAGACATCCTTCTGCTACATTTTTAAAAGTACCAAGCTTCTAACTCCAATAAATGAATAAGGTTAAGAGAACTCTGAATATAATGCAGTAGAAAATGATAGCAGACTACAAGTAGCCAAAAGTACTTACTCAAATCCGCGTGGTGCTATCCGAAGAAGACGCAAAGAGGGAGAAAGAATCTGAAAGAAATCTTTGTCAGGAGAGACAACTCGAACCTACAAGTAGCCAAAAAAACATAGCAGACTATTTATATTAAAAGAAACAAAAGACTGTTCAATCATCAAACTAGGCCCTGCTAGCTTAAGAAGCATTGAACACTTGTCGGATAGCTTAAGAGTATTTTTACTTTTAACCCAGCATCAACGCTCCTTACAGCCAAGGTTCCAATTACGTCATCAGCTTCTACACCCGGTACCTGTCCTTAAGGAAATTTCACCATTAGTTAGCCATTCATCACAAGGATTAAAAAACGTAACATGTGTGACTCTCTTTACCACTAGCAACTTACCTCTATAACCTTTATAGACATTGCTCTGATGGACGCTTTGAGATATTGGAGTCCCTGCACAACTGTATCAGGGGTAGGAGGACGATTGCTTTTGTATGCAGGGTAGAGCGTATGACGGAAGGTCAGGCCTTGGAAGTATTAAGGCATAGGAAACACATCAATGTCGATAAGATGACATAAGACTATTGTTTAAACTTTATACAGTACAAAAAACAGGGAAAATGAAGAAGCATATGAAGTTGGAGATGCACATATGTGGAAAGCCTACAATTCAGAGAAACCTATCACATCCAGCACTAGAAGAAATGGATGGTTGACAAATAACTCACAGGCAAAAATTATAACCACTAAGCAATGCAAGCTGATTGTCTCAAGCTCGTGTTGCTGTTACTAGACATTCCAGGCTGTAGTCTTACCAAGTTATACATATTTTTCTTTGTAAAAGAGTGCAAAATGTCAACTAGAAAAAAGAGTTCAAAAGAAGCAGACAGCTGCTCCAGCTTGGAGTTCTGACCCACCAGTGGTACGTATATCATATAAGAAATAACTCTGCATCCAAATGCAGGCCACCACAAAAGGAGGTAATCTAAGTTTAGCATCTACGACCACAATTTATACGTATATGTATATAATTCTTGAAAAGATCCAGGACCTTTCTAGTTAAGTGATATCTAACCATGAGCCATAAGGACAAAATACTGCAAGCAAACACCCACATCATTTTTGCATAGACAAGGAATACGTTTAGAGGCTTTACGTGTACTCAGAATGAGATCTTGGCAGAGAACCCATAGTATTCTACCAAAAGCTAGCCTTGAAAAGTAAGCCATGGCATTTGAAATGGGTTCTCCTTAGCATACAATAAATAACCAATTGAACTTGAAGCAGAAAATTTCAGAAGCAATGAACTGGAGGCTTCTGTTGCAAATCTGATGTTATCGTCAAGGATATAACATCCCTTACATACCTACCCGGTGTTTCCTGATACTTATCCACTGAGCTATCCAACATCTGCATCTAATGTGACTAATAACCTCCATAGGAGCTTACCTTTTCCAGAATGATATTTTGAGGGACTAGAAGTAGAGCCAAAAGGAAGTCCTGAAAAGAAAACGCTTTGTTTCGTCAAAAAAATGGTTTTCAGACGTACATGCCCACAGATTATGAGATATCTTGCCTCAAGGAAACCCGGCTTGCTAAAAGAAAAGACAGAAAATATATCCATTGTTATCATGTATTGGGGTAAAACTGTCTGGAGATCACTTAGCTTGGCAGTTGGCATACCATAAATAGTAAAGTGATGATCATCGTTATCTATTTACCAGATATGAAAATTACAACACAACAATTCACTAGTAGAACTTGACTACTGGGTGTGATAATAAGACTGCAGTGTAATGAAAGCCATACAAACCGACTGCTGAGCATAGTAATTTTTGAGGTGCTGTCCAACAGCTATATACTAAAAACGCGCGTTTAACAGCTTTAAACCAAAGAAGATGAACAGAATCCAATTGCAATTCATGGAAAGTCTTCCTGAATATCATTTATGCAAGCTAAGCATATTCATTTACAAGGATGGCTGAATACTACGGTAACAGAAAGCCTGCAGTGTATCTAGAAACAATCAATGTGAGGCATGCATTCATACACATGCAAGAGAAATCAAAAGTTAGAAAGGCACACTTAAAATAGAGCTAGGTAACAGGCTTAGTTATCATTTGGCTTTGGCATCTGACCCACAACGCTGAGATGGGTAACTACAAACACTACAAGTCATGGGAACAGAATGAATTTTGTCTACGACTGACACCACAGGAGATGACTAGACATCAACAATACTAAAAACAATTCTGGCTGACAATAAAACTAGTCTGCTTAACATTGCAACTCACCATCATGGTCGAACACCACCTGTGCGGGAACAGATAACTAAGTCAGCAAGGGCAACTCAACATAAAGCAGTAAAGAAAACAAAATAAAAGAACCTCAGAAAAAATGGTAATGAACCATACCGCCACATGGGAGGGGACAAATTCCAGAACATCAATTATCTGCAAATAAGAAGAAAGGGTGTTCGAGGAAAGAACTGGGATATTAAAGCTCAAACAGAAAAACTGAAAAAGAAATACAGGCACTAAGTTGAAAAAGAAAATTCACTTCTGCAATCATTCATCTGCAAACTTCTGGGAACTAATAATGTAAATTAACAATACAACTCAATACAACATATATAATTTTCACTTACGAGGGATAAGGCAGAAAATATTGTTAAAACCCAGTCCCCATTTCCATCAGCATGAGTAAGATGACCACGATGCAATCTCGCTACATTTGACCCAAACATCAACAAGAGTGAGAAGCGAGGAAGAAAGTATACTTGTGCATCTAGACTGAAAGTTTGACATTTGGGTGAAGACTGAAGAGGCACTTATGTACGGATGGGATGCATACCTAGAAGCTTATAGTAAGCCCTGTAAATGATGGATGTCCCATCAATAAGCATCACCCTACCATTTGAAGGATCAACACTACTTGGTGCTCTTTCTTCTGGCTTGAGATATTGCATAGACTCCAGCACATCATTCCCGCTTTTTGAAGAAATTGTTATACTGACATTACTCGCGGTCGCGGCATGGGAGAATCCAGAAACACCTGAATCCAAGTTACAGGTGGAACTGCGATAGTACTGAAATACAAATCTGGGTATCAACATGATAATACTGGACGAACCCATGGACTAAATACGTGTCATAACGAAAGCGGAATACGTGACAAGGAAACCGTCACCTTTGAGGTTTGTGGAACAGAAGGATGGATCAGACAGCAGTTGTTACGGCCCAATATGAAAAAACCTCTCCGAGAAGAATAGAGACTTCTCCATACGAAGTGGGAGTAGGGTTTCAAAGACAGATGCAACGCCATCAACTCATAGAAAAGGCTTCCCGACGAATACTTTGGTCATTTCCGAGAGGTGAAACTGAGCTTTTCGAGAAATCCAATCCTTAAACGGGAAAAAATAACAGGACAGGTGAACTGGGAATTCTAAGGCAGACATGATTCCGAACGTACCGTACTTTTTGGCCTGAGTCTCTCGGCTGCTCCGAGTTCCTTCTCTCCGCCAAATTCACAATAGGTTTTCTCAGACTACAATCCTGCTCGGTAAAAAAAAAAAAGAAAGAAAGAAAAGGAAATGTGCCTAAACTTTGTGTATAATAATAGCGTCCAAAAATAAAAATCTTTTTTAAAATTTTGATATATCCTTTAAAAAGCAAAAGCCCAACATATATATACCCATATTAAAGCCCAAATGATGATGAGTATATATACGCCCAAAAAAAGGTAAAACAAAGAGAGCCAAACCCTAGAAGAGAAGAGAAACCGTAGGGGGAGAAGAGATCGAGAGAGATGACGCAAAAGAGTAATCTGTTCAAGGGTCAACAGAAGAGGAAGGCTATTCCTCCCAATCGACACGGAAAAACTTCTCAAACCCGCAAAGGTACAACGCTTGATTCCGCTCCTCTATTATCTCAGCTCTCAAGAAC